TTGAAGTACCCACAGTGTCTAATTTATATTTCAAAAATATTCTACTACTTATATATAAATATAAACATATATTATGTAAATCTGATTCTAGATATAATACTAGGAACAACATTAACACTAATTTAAATAGCTATAATGTGTATAATACCACAGTTAAGTTAAATTTGTTTAAAAATTAAATTTTACTCATATACCTACCTAACTGTCTTATAAATGATATTCTTAGTTTCATTCAGTAGGTATACTAAATGTCTATACTTTATATAGTACATTATTGTTGAAAATTGTACTTAGATCTTACCCTTTTGGCACAAGCTTAGATTTTGAAAGGGTATAAATATTCTTTTATTGTTTTATATACATTATAAATTTAAATAGATAAGTATGATAAAAAATAAATAAAAATTCATTTATTAAGTGTGTAAAATAAAAATCAAGTTTATGTAGATTTATACTACAAAAAATAAAACAAATATATATACAATGTGTATTCCCTTTTTATAGTTGATTTGAATAATTTGCTATTGTTTCAAATATTTCAATTAGTTCTTCAATGTCAAACTATTTTTTTATGATGCATCAATCACATAAATTGATTATTTTATTCTATAATTAATATTCAGAATTCGTTACTATTTTATTTCATAAGGTTTTTAGAAAAATTTAATATACCACATACAATTGGAGCAGTAGATGGCACACAAATAGCTATTACTCCACCTAATGAAATTGATGAATTATATCAAGAACATTTATATATTAATAGAAAACAGTATCATTCAATTAATTGTCAAATAGTAAGTAACTTAAGTACCCAAACTAATATGTACCCAAATCTAGAGAATTGTTAATACAACATTGTACGCAAATATTGTTCATAGGTAACAGATGCTGATTTAAAAATTTTATCAATTAATGCAAAGTTTCCAGGCCGTAGTCATGATGCATATGTATGGAAGAACTCTACAATTCGTTCTCATTTGTTAGAAACTAATGCTAAAAACACATTTCTCATTGGTAAGTTCAAAATTATCATAGTAGTATAGTATCTAAATTTTAAAAATGTTAATCACAATTTTTTATAGGTGACAGTGGTTATCCTTTGGAACCATGGTGCATAACTCCAATTTTGGGAAATCATCAAATTTATTCACCTGAACACCGGTTCAATAAAACCCACAAACGGGCCCGCTGTACAGTTGAAAGGTGCATAGGGGTTTTGAAACAACGTTGGAGATGCCTATTGAAGGATCGCACATTGCATTATAAACCTACAAGAGCTTCCAAGATAATTATAACGTGTGCTGTTTTACATAATGTGGCTATACATTATAATATTGGGCTGCCTGAATATGACAATGAAGAAGAAGAGGATGAATATGAAGAAAATCATGGACAAGAAGTTGAAGAGTTGTTAAATGCTGGACGACAGACGCGTCAAGAACTACTGAATCAGTTTTTTACACATTAATAAACAATGGTACACATATTTTAACATTAAATAAATGTATTCTTTGTATATCACATGAGATTTGCTGTTTTTCACCTATTATCAGTCTTATACATATATAGGTAACAGCTAGTATAGTAAGTAGTAGATACTAACAAAAACCATATTTGGTATTCTTAATAATCAAAAGGTACAATTGTATAGACTTAATTTACATTAAAATAAATTAAAAACAAAAACTAAAACAAAAAATAATTAAACCTCAAGATCTTTTCACAGTACATATTTGTATGCTGCCACTAATAATAAATTTATATAACAAGATTAATGCCCATATGCATAATTAATTTATGTGTCACATTCATACAGACATAAACAACTTTTTAGTACATTGGAATAAAACATTTAATTTAAAAAAGTAATTTTGACATGGAAAAACTACTTTTTAGTATCTTTCCTTTTTTAAAAAACTATTCTATATCGTTTATGCCAATCACACTGACATCTTCATAGTCTATATTTGAGGAGTTGTGGGTTTGCTGGTACTTTTTAGAATATTTCCGCTCTAAAATTATATTTCTTTCCCGTTCTATTGCATTTCTGTCTTCTAAAGCTAACGCTATGCGTTTCATTTGCACAGCTTGATTAATAGTGGCATCGGCTAAATTTTTCTGTTGCTTAATCATTTCTTCATAACCCGGTCCACTTTCAAAAGCTTCAGTGTATGTGCGTGAAGCTTTTTTTTTTGGTGCAATATTTTGTTTTAAAGGAACCTTTTCATTTACAATTTTATCATCATCAATAAGACTATTATTTTCGTTACGTGTATTCCAGTTATACGATGGTTGAGTTTTATCAGGAGACACCGAGTTAATAGCCACAATAACTTCGGTTTGGTTGATACCTACCTCATGTACTTCTGGATCTCCACTAATCAGTACTTCCCCAATAATGTCAGCGATTTCACTTTCAAGTGGGGAAAGAATAATATTTGTTGGTTGATTTCCAGTCTTCAAGGAATCACGTTTTATTACAGCAGCTTTGTCTTTAATAGTCCTCTTAAGGTCATCCCAAGTCTAGAAAATTAATACACGTTTTTAATATTTTAATAGGTTGTACATATCGTAATAACCTTTATGATATACTTATTAAATTAGATATATTTCCATGAGGCTTACATTATGTAATACTTTGTTACAAATTGTACAATATTGTCATGTATTTTAAAAATCCATAGCATAACCTTAATATTCTCTTGTGTTATAACAATATCATCTTCAATTGCCTTACTGCACCATGTCACTTACTCACTTCCAAACCTGTGCAAGTTGGTCATTTTTTTTAATTAGTTAAAATTATGTTAATTTAACATAAAAACTACTAAGTCTCAATAAACCAACAGCAACACTCTTAGGCACAATTACAGTTTTTTACTTGGAAGGTCTTTACATATTTAAATGAAACCAACCCTTGGGGGACTCTGCCTGTTCAAACAATACCCCTTGTTCAAATACCTTTAAAATTTAAAATTTATAAAAAAAAAAACACTTCTATCGAGTATCAACTATATTTTAGTCAAATAATAATTAAAGTGTTATGAGTAATGTATTGTAATTACTAATTAGCAATTTATTATTGCCTATTGGTAATACTATTATTAAACCTATAATTTGTTCTGTGGGTGGATACGATATCTACTATGAAAAACTTATGAATAAAAATCGTTATTTAAACTTTAGAAAATAATTTTTTCAAACAACGTTATTGATTATGTAGATTAGACTGGAAAGATTAATATTTTAATTAAAATACAAATTGGAAAAAGCTCAAAAAATAATTATAAGAAAACCAAAAGAGTAAAAAGTACCTACCAATTTACCAACACTTATTTTAACAACTTACTTTTTTCCACTTCTTGACATCTTTTTGAGCTTTTCCACTGGCATTTAAGAGTTCACCTAATTCATTCCACAGCCTTTCTCCGTGTTCAAATGTGAACGAATCACTAAATTTATTTTCAATAAGTTTACGGTTGAGAATAAAAAAATCTGCCATGACATTTTTCTGGTTTTCACTTATACGTGCCATTTTTATTGTTTATACGGGTGTTATACAGTATACTGGTTAATAAAAAATAAATCACAACTAAAAACTATTTTTTATAACCGTGAAATCCTGTGACAAAAGTTTAACATGACAGAATATTATTAATTAATAATTATTTATCACGATGATATAAATAAAATATAATAATTCTTTACAACAATAAAAATTATTTTTAGATATTATCATATTTATTCGTTATCAAATTTACATATATTCATGGTGGAAAAATTATTTATTAATTTCTCCAGGTAAAGTGAGTTGTGATATCATAAATGATATTTGTGAGATGAGATCAGTGACTACGGTGGCTTTAAATATTTTCTCATTGCTAAATTATGAAGTGAATGAAATGAGATGGATGAAGTGGTTATGTGTCAAATGACTCACTCTATCAAAACCGCCCCCCAGGCCACATTCTCAATTTCTCTAATATCCAGTAATCAGTTCTTATTCTACTGAACTTTTGTCTGGACTCTGGAATATCAAAATTAAATTATTGTTGAATTTCAAAATGTAATAATATTTACCTATATTGTTTGTGCTTATTATAAATAAAGAATAATACCAAATTATTACGTATTTTAGAAAAATATATCTCTTCGGTGTCTTGATTCACGATTGATAATTAGAGAGTTGGAGTTACTAACACAATTTGATCTTACAAGAATCAAGGTTCGGTTTGAAATTGCTCGTAGGTAAGTTATTCAATTTTGATACTTGACATTATTTATTTATTTCTAAAAACCTAAAACAATAAATTAATTCCTTGGTGTCAGTAAGTAAAACATAGATATCCGTTAGTTCAAATATTGTGCCTTATAGATTTGCCTGCATATTGTTTAACATACATTTTATATATTTAAAGTGAAATAATACATAGTAAATGCTTAATTTTTTTAATCGTTATTTATAGGATTCAAAAAATTCAATATTTTAAAAGTACTTCTAGTTTTGTATGTGCCATGTGGCTTACAAAAAATATTGTATAGATTTCTTGACAAATTTTAGATACCAACACTTCAAATAATCTAAATGCAAGGTCGATTAATAATGTTTTCAATTTTTCTGAGTACATATTAAAATTGAAAACATTTCTTTAGGAGCACTTTAGGTTCAAGAAATTATAAGTTAATACCTAGTTGTAAAATCTTTTTATCATTTAACAATGGTAACATTAATAGTATCTAATCTTAAACATATTATCAAAACTATTATTCTACCTTAAAAAAAATATTAAAAATAATAACCCAAAATTATCAAACTACTCATTATAGAATGTAAGTGATAGGTAGGTAATTATAATTTCAATGAATCCAAATTGAAACAGTAAAGTTATAAAGTGTTTATAAAACATACTTATTCTTATTATCAATTAATCATCTAAATCTTATATTATTTTGTTATTGTTATTATTTGAAGATTTCCAACTTATTCGCTCTCTTAAATGGCCTTTGAAACTAAAAATTCTGGTAAGCCAAGACAAGTGAGGGGTACTACTGCATACAAATATCGAAATTTGTATGTGTTTGGTGTATTTGCTGTCAGTGGACTTTCTTGGTTCCTGTTTGAGTGAGTTTTTATATATTTATATAATATTTGATTAATTTTGAATTTGAGAGCTAATATTACATCAGAGTTTAATCAATTACCATCCTCATTCAAACTTTAAATGCTCATTTATAAAAAAACAAATCTACTCGTTGAATATTCATTAAAAATATATTAACATTAAAAAAAAAGTATTCTACCTACAAATTAAATAGGTTATCATTTAAAAATCATGAGTAAATTGTGGGTTTTCAACAAACACGAAGTGAAAATAATTAAGAACAAAATAAAATGTTAGAATTGCGGGTGATGTAGGCACCTATTTAAGTTTTTTTTAATCAGAACATTTTCAAAAATGTATATTATGAATAATGAGTGTTCTTCAATAACTGAATCTCTGGAAAAAATAAATAAAACAACCAAAAATACACTTATTACAATAAAATGTTCTTAATATTAATACAATTAAATACCTACATTTACCTAAATAATAAACTGTTCATTTGTTTATTTCATTCAATTTATTAAAAATATTTAATCTTTAAAGGTCGAAAATGTCATCAGTGGGTGGCTTCTTTCACCAAATTATGTAAATCATGTTTTATTTGTTTCCCTCTTATCACACATAATATACTCATTATGTCTTAGTTATAGATTATATATTTCTTCTAAAAAAAAAAACTTAAAAGGACTACCTAGTGAAAATGGAATCCCATAAACTATATGCCTACACACATCATATAATTGATATTTGATTAAATTGTAGATATATTATAAATTTAATATGTTTAAAAAAATAATTGTAAGACATTTAAATATAATATTTTGTTATATAAAAATATTGATTAAAAAAATTTTATGTATTATAATTGTATATTAGGTAATAGGTAATAGTATAGTATGTTTCAGTAAATGTAAATATTATAATATAGAGAATGTTATCACATTGTTTATTTTATCTCTCTCAACCATGCACAACATGGACAATACTCATTCACACAAATTTATCATTTTATATAATAAAAAATATAGAGAATATTAATTAAGGTATGACATTTCAATTTGTCTAAATATTGTCTCATAACAATTGAATATCCATTTCAATTTAAAAAATGTAAGTTTTATTTTTAAAGTCAAATAATAATAAAATAAAAATCTGATTTTTTAACTCTCAAAAATATTATCTATAATTTTTCTAATTGGAAATTTTACTCTATATTACTCAAAAATCATAAAAAACAAATTTATGTGAATGAGTTGTATTTATGTTGCATGTGGTTTTTGGAGAGAAAACAAGTATTGTACTGACATCCTGTGTATTATATAAGAAAAAATGTTATCATGAATTATATCACTTTTGATCTGAGAATAACATTGATAACATTTCAGATAGATTGTTGATTATATTATGTGATTATAGTAAAATTATATATTTTAATTTTAGTTAATTTTTTTTTCCTTATACCTAATATTTGTAGCTGGTTCATTATACAATTGCATATTTAATACATTTTTTTTCTCTTGTAGACAATTACCATCAACAAAAAAACTAAATGAACAAATCAAAAATGGTTATTGGAATCGTACACCAGAAGAAAATTATAGATTAGAAATGATTAGAAAAAATTTCAATCCTGATACAAAGAATCTAAAGCAAAGAAAAGATGAAGTTTTGTCGAAAAAGGATGATTTTTCACCAATAAAAATATAATTTTTTATTTTCTTTTAGTTTGTTTATTTGTAATTAATCATAGTCTTTAAAAGTATAAATATTACAATTTGAAAATGAATTTATTTTCTCAATCTAAATTAACATTAAAATTAAAAAAGCAAAACAGTAACAATGCATTACCTCCTGATCCTGCAAAGTAAATAAAACAATTTATTATTACTTGTAATAAATAAAAGCACATCTCGGTTATCTTCCTGCTACTTGCTGGTACTAGAAATTTTGGGTTATTTGTTACTAATATTAACTGTCATTAACTATTATTCATCCATTGGAAATCGTATACTAAATTTCAGGATTAATATTTGAACACTAAATGGTTAACTGTTATTATAATTTTGTGGTTCATGAGTGATAACATACAATTTTTTTATTATATTATTTTTATCATAATCACAATCTCATTTATTAAATCTTATACAATATATAATGTTTAAATTATAACAATAGTTAATTAGTAAACCGCAATAAGCCTGCAAATATTGATACCAGTAAGTGGTGGTAATATAACCGAAATAACAATAAAGCACCAAAATAAATTTAAATTATTTTACTTTTTTCAGTAAATGCCAAGATTTAACAACAAATGATTTTGTAAAATCCGAGTATAATAATTTACCAAATAATAGTTTGTTATCTGAAAATGATAGTTTTGTAGAATTGTTGCATACTGTACGTCCTCAGGATGAAAAAACAACTATGTCACAAAGCGTTTTTAAAACAACTCCAGTTCAAAATGTACCTGACGTCATAAATGAAAGTAAACAATGTCCAGTTTGTTTACAAATGATTGATCTCAAAAATTTCATTAACCACGTTAAATCATGTGGTACAACACATAATTTATCATCTGAAGTGCTTATAAAAGCTGTGGATCTTCAAGAGCGTCAAACAGCTGAAAGAGAAGCACTAGGACTACCTAAGTTAACAAACAGTAGAGATGTTAAAATAAAAAAAAAGAGTACTAAACAAACAAAGTTAAAGGTATAATATTTATATTCTTGATATATCAAATATAATAGTAAAATTACTCTAATTACATTTTAGATTGGAAATGATTCTAATTTTGATTTGGCTATTGCTATGTCTATGTCTTTACAAGAGTCCAAAGAAGCTGACATTATAAAAGAATCTGAAAACCTTTTAGAAGCAGGCTTAGAAGCCGAGGCCATAGAAAAAAGAAAAACATTGGAAAGCTTTGGTTTTATATCAAATCAGCCAATTAAATCCAAATCTAAGAATTGTTAGTATTTATAAATAAACATTGGATTATATAATTAATGTTAGACAAATTTTACTTGATAAGTTCACAGTTTTTTTTTTTAAAATATTGATCTAACCTATAATCAATAAGTAAGGTTTGGTATACTAATAATTATGTAAAAAACCATTATTTCTAATATTTAAATACAAATAATATATTGTATTATAATTATAATTGTTTAGTTGTTCAGCTAATGCTATTAAAATGATTCATGATATTGAAAAAAAAACTGTTATCTACTCATCACTAATTTATATATCTTATATTTAAATACATATTTATTTTAAATTATATTTTTACAGTTTATAAAACCAATTCTTTGTTATTCAAGCAAACAAAAGAAGATCGTCAGAAAAGAATTACTGAAAAAGTAGCAATGATTCTTATAGACTGTGATTCATTATCACCAGAAACATCGTTGAATGACTGTCCCAATATAAAATTAAGATCTAAATATTTAAATAAAATAAGAAATGCTGTAAGTTGTTAAGATTAATACTAATATTAGCCTAATTTATAAAGATATTAATAGTTAGATGACATTGAATATTAAGTACTTGAAAGACTGAAAATTTAAAATTTAATAATTTAAATATAATCAAAAGTACAATTACATAATTTCAAATGAACAGACCATTGACTATTGGTTTTTAGACTGTGGGGAGGGAGCAGTATGTGTGAACACGTGTGTGTAGTTTTTGGCAGATTTTCAAGTGGGCATCCGTAGGTATCTGCCATGCCTGGATGGGGGATGGGGGCACTTGTTCTAGTACCTCTTTTCTTAAAATTGAAAATTCATTCAAATAAAAATAAAAATATTTTTCTGTAAAATACTGAGTTTCCAAAAAGAGTCTTTTAACTTCACAAAGTGGCAAACTACTTACCTACTAGATCAGATTTTCTACCAGAAACCATCCTAAACATTGAAGATTAAAGTTATTTTTATACTTCTTGAGCGATGACAGATTAAAAAAAATATATATACCATTTTCCAACCTTTTATATTTCACCCCAAATCTACAAACTAAACATTTTGAATGTATAGGAATACATTTTTATTTTTATTTTTATAGGATTGTGAACTCTGGAAAAAATCATTACTTGAAGAAGATAATGTATTTGAATTTTATGTGAAAAATGTGTCCAAGTTCTTAAGCCCTAGTGAAAGCAATGGTTTACAAAATATTGTTCGATTTCCTTCACATGAAGATACTATAAAACAGGTAATTGTAAATTTAATATTATATTTATACTTAATTTTCATTCAAGTTTTATTATTCGTTTTGGTTTTTCCATGAGTTTTACCAATTACCCAATGGTAGTACTACCCAATTGACTTTACTATGAGTTATTTTTTAAAAGTACATGCACTATTTACACACTGATCTATTTTTCTGCAAACTGTAATGAAAACTTTTCAAAAAATATTGATTTGTTTTGAACTGAACTGACATTTCTGTTTCCAATTTTAGATTCTGAGTGAAACGATGAATGTATTGATTTTACAATGATGTGTGTTTTATTTTTTATTTTTTTGTGTCTGTGTACACGATAAGTAGTCGAAATAAAGCTTCGATTTTCAACTTCAATATCTTGTTCGATTGGAAAGTGAATATCGTTGGTGCATTGGGGAAGTTAAATTTCCCAGTAGTTTTCAAAAGCGCCGGGAAAAACAAAATAAAAATTAAGGAAAAACGGAAATTTTTATGCAAAATCTGTTTTTGAGAAAATCGATTTTGGTTTTTGGTGTAACTTTAAAACAAATGACCGTAAATACATGAAATTTTCAGTGGTTGTTTATATTTGCATTTTCTATACACGATAACATTTTCAAAATATTTTGATTTATTTTGAACTGTTTAGAGACATTTTCAGTTTCCAATTTTATTAGTTTTTTTTTTATGAATATCAATAAAATTTATTTGTTGAGTAAAAATACTTGAAAATTTAATACAAGGCTCCTACTATATTGTTTTCAAAGACCGATGAAAAATATTAAAAATCGTTAGTCACAGTTTTTTTTTTTATAAGTATTCAAGGTTCAAAAAAAGACAAAATATGGAAAAATCATGAAAATTTGCAAATTATTTTGAGTTAGAAATTCATAAAAATTTTTCTTTTTAAATCTAAGATATGAAAATGTAATACAAAATTTCTTATAAGATTTCCTACATTTATCAAAAAAAAAAATTCTATAAGAAAGTCAAATTAAATTTTTATGAGCGTTTGAAATTCAAATTTTTACAACATTGGATATTCATATTGGATATTTCTCATGTTTTGATTTCCTTATTTTGTTGTTATTCAAAAACGAATTACTGTAGGTACATGAAAATTTCACTGAATGTTTATATTAGCATTTCCTATACACCTTACAATTTTTAAAATATTTTGACTCTTTTTGTGCCGTTTACGGACATTTTCAGTTTTCAATTTTTTTAGTTTTTTTTTTCTATAAATATCAATCAAGTTTTATCTGTTGGGCCAAAAAGTGTAAAAAATTAATACAAGGCTCCTGATATATTGTTACAATAGCAATTGAAAAATATTAAAAATACATAGGCACAATTTTTTTTTATAAGCATTTAAAGATTGCATTTTGACAAAATTTATCAAAATCTCGAAAATTATCAATCATTGTAGTTAATAAATTATAAAATTTTCAGTTTTTATAGCTAAGGATTGAAAATTTAAAAAAAAGATTCTCATAAATAGTTCATACTGTAGCCAAAAAATCTAAAAAATATATGAGCACAGTTATTGTTTTCAGACATTTTAAATTCATATTTGGACTAAATTACATATTAAAAAACTTAGAATAACTATTTTAGTTATTTTGTTGTGATTGTATAATATTATTCGTGGGTACTTGAAACTTCTAAAGTACACTATATTATATATCTATGATAGTATCAGGGTTTGTTATTGATGTATAACGTGTTATAAGTACCTAATGGATATTGTGATATGATTAATTTGGAATTTATTATAGGTCAATTTTTTTTTAATACCATAGATATGTATATAATATGTCTTAAACCTAGACTGACATACCATCTTCGCTCAGAATCGTTTTTCTTATACAATGATATTGTATCATTGAATTCAAATTTAATAGCATCCATTATACAGTGACCCACTTGTAACCTACTGTACAGTAGAGCGACATCCACTTACCCACCTTTTTTTAGTTTTTTTTTCTATGATTGTCAATAAAAATGTACTTGTTGGGTAAAAAAAGCTTGAAAATTTAATACAAGGCTCCTAATATAATGTTACAATGATATTTGAAAAGCATTAAAAATACAGTCACAATTTTTTTTTTTAAACATTTAAAGTTCAAATCTTGATAAAATATGTAAAAATCGCAAAAATGAGGAAATTATTTTGAGTTGGTAATTCATAAAAATGTTTCCTCTTAAATCTAAGATTTGAAATGTAATACAAGATTCCTAATAAGATTGTCTTCCCTATATATATAAAAAAAAAAAATGATATATCATTGAATACAAATTTAACACAATCCATTACAGTGACCCACTTGTATTCTACTGTACAGCAAAGCGACACCCACTTGCCCACATTTTTTTTAATGTTGTATACATGTATAAATTATAAAATAAATATTCAAATATATGAGTTTTAAAAGTGATCATTAATCATCGCTAATAATAAATGGGTTTGGTGATTTAAAACATATAAAATGATTGAGGAAAATACTCATCACCTGACCAATTTTTAATTAAAAAAAGCTCAATAAATGACTGGTTAAGAAGAATAATGTAAATAATTATTAAGTTTATATTATAATGATTTGATAAATATTTTGAATGTTTTCTGTAAATTAATGCTATTTAATAGTCATATAAAAAAGTTATTTTTCTGTACATTTATATCTATATTATATTATCATAATAATAATTGTTTAATATTTTATTTAGGAATCAAATACTATTGATGAGGAAGACGTAAATACATTACATGCAGTTATAGATGATTCAAAGGTTTTTAATAAGCATGTTACACATCATACAATTGTTGGAAATAAAACTATGCCAGAGTATTCTTCTAAGTGGAAATCAATGATAGGTAGTCAGTTTATGAGTGATATAACTATCTTTTCCAAAAATGAACATGAAATTCCAGCTCATATTCTAGTGCTTCATGTACAGTGCCCTGATATTTTGAATGACATTATTATAGAAGAATCTGGTACACATAAATCAAAAAAAATGGTTATGTGGTCTGAGTACACTTATGAAGCATGCATGGCATTCTTAGAACTGATTTACTCTGGCCAAGAACAATTAATAAGTCCCGAGTACAGAAAAGATTACTTGAATTTAGTAACAAGGTACAATGTTCAAATAGTTATAAATGATGATGATGGAAAACATGGATGGTTTTCTGAAGAATACGATAAAGCATCAAAACGTAAAAGCTCAGAATTATATTCAACTGATAATAAAAGATATAGAGCTGACAGTCCAGATATGTTTATGATGGATAATGCAAGTGAAGAAATAGGTAATATGAGTTCTAATTTTTTAGGAACAACTGTGAATGATGAAAAATCCTTGAGTGTGTTGAAAACCAAGCAGTGGTTGTACAATTGCAACCTAAGTCAACGTCACAATTCATCATTCACAGGAAATTTAGATATTAATGTTCTACCACAAACTATTTCACCAATGAAGAGTCCAGCTCATTCTTTTCATAGTGCATCAACTGTACATATTCAACTAACACCTACGTCTACTGAAAATGATTATAATATGAACATTGAAAGCAACGATGTACAGATTAACTCAACATTAGATATTAGAAGTTTATCCCCCAAATCATTATCAGTGGATGAATCAAGCATGAAAGCCGACTTAAAGTTGAATAACATCAAAAACGTCCCTATTGATTTAGAAATTCCTTCGGACAAAATTTCTACACTTACTAATTCACGTAAAGAACCAGAGTTAATTACAATCATCAGTGATAGTGACAATGAATCGATAGATATGATTTTGTCTCGTTATAATGGTACAGCTCATGATAGAAGTATTAATCTATCAAATGAAAACTATTGTACACCTTTTCAAGCAAGCATTAAGAGAATGAAAAATGTTTTTCCATTCAACTCAGATGATAAAAGTAATGCTATAAGTGTTATTGAGTTAAATGATAGTAGCTTAGATTCAATTCATTCAGTTAGTACAAATATATTACATCAAAGAAATTGTAACACTAAATTGAGCAATTCTGTTGTTAACAAGACCACAACTTCAACACCAAGAACTAAGACATTCATAAATATTGATGATGAAAAGACCGTAATTTCCACTGTACCAAAGTTTTTTTTCACAAACAGTACTAATGCTCAAATTCCATCTTCAAGTAATACAAATTTTATAGACCTAATAAACGATAGTAGCTCAGATTCTATCTTTACGATTGATAAAATAAAAAATGACAGTTTATCGACATCATTTTCAACATTGCCATTGAATAATAATGCTCAACAAAATTGTCAAAAGTCTTCAACTCCCCTTTCAAATGCACCAAGAAAAATAAATTCTCCAAGTCGTGATAGTTTAACTACAAAATTTGAAACAAACAATTGTATATCGAATGCATCACCATTAAAAGGAGGTGACATGTGGTCAAATTGTTCATATCCAATAAGCGATGGAGATTATTATGCAAAAATTAATACAAAAACAAACGAAGACTTTTGTTCAACAATTTTTTCAAGCAATACAATTTTACCTAAATGTAGTAATTCTAAATTACTATCCAAATCTACTGAGCAATTATTTCAATGTAACGATATGCCATCAACATTTTTAAACACTTCCCCAATTTATAATGTAGAAAACAGTGATAATATCAGTAATACAATAGGGTCCTATAAGAAAAATGTTCTAGACAAATCTAATTCATATTTTGAACAGTTGGAAAAAATCTTATCAAAGAAAAATATAAAATCACCTTCTAATAATTATATCAATTCCCTAGTAAACATAAAAGAACCTATTGATTTAACTACATGTTTATCAAGTGAATACACACATACTTCATTTAGGCCTTATAGTTCTCAAATTGAAACTGTTCAACTACCTATTACATCAGAAATAACTACATCAAATGAAAATGATGATGATCAAAATAAATCAGCCTTTGAACAAATAATTGACGATCCGTGGATGGACTATAATGATTGGCAACCATATAATATTAGTCCTCAATATGTGTCACCAGTTTTATCGGAGAAAAATTCTTTGGTCTTAGTTAATGACTCTGAAGTATTATCAACACCCCAAAATATTGTAAATCATATTAATATGGATTTACAAACTTCTCCACCAACTATTTCAAGTAATGTTGATATAGTAAATCATCAAATAAAAAATGCAGTAACACCAAATAAATACGGCAGTAGAATAAGTACTCCAAAGAGTTTACGCAGGGTTCAATCAGAATCTATCATTGGAACTAATGGACAAATAACACCTTTGCCAAATTATAGTGCAATGAAAACACCAGATTTAAGAGTAAGTATTTCTTTAAGAAACTTAGCGTTAACTAGTGACAAATGGTCCTAGATACTTCTGTTTATAAATTAATCTTGTACTTATTATTTCATTATACCTACAGTATAGTCCTAGACAAATTTAAACCATTTTATGTCTTAATTAGTAGAGATTTTTCAAGGGTACTTGAATGACCAATAATTGTTTTTTTACCATCTTTATTAAGAAGTCTTGACAACAGATTTTAAAGACAGTTATACATATTACATAGTATAGGTGTCCTAAGAGGGTACAAGTTAATGTAATTGAAATTTTTTTTAGAGAAAAATCAAGTAATTGTTTTTTGGTTAGTGCACTCAACTTTTATTATAAAAAAATTGAATAAATTTGAAACTTAGTTTGTAATTAAATAGTTTTAGTTACATATTTAAATATAAGTATACAGTCAGTAATCAATATTAATTTCTTACATGCAGTTTTTTCACTCAAGTTTTTAATAATTAACCAATTTTTATTTGAATTTTCAATTGTAATTTTAGAAAGAATTTGAACGTTATGGCCTTAAAGATCTCGGAAGGCGCAAAGGAAAGCTTATATTAAGACATATCTATGATGTAACTCATCCCAAATATGATTCTGAAGAAGCAAAATGTGTTGGAGACTCTGAACAGTATTCTGATTCTTCAGATAGGTAAGTATATTTTAAACATTTAAATTGTCGTTATCATTATTAGCACTGAACACAAGCATAATTTATTGTGTTGCACATATAATATTATAGTTCAGAACATGGAATGCCTTATTATGAAGCTGGAGATTACGACGAATTGGAAACTTTTAGTCAAACAAATTTATCAAATAAAAGTAAGTTTTATAAAGATCTATGTAATTATTATCTATATCTATCTATATATATATATATATATGAATGTATGTATGAAGTATGACATATGTATGCATATATGTGAATTAAACTTGGAAACTAAGAAACCTTATTTAGGTTATCTTTAAAGAATAATTTATTGATTTTCAGTAGCTTTTCTAAACTCAAAGTTATTTGTAAATAATGTTTAAGGAAAGCTAATATTATTTTAACTGATTATATAATATTACTATAGCATATATATACTACTATAATTATTGTTAATCGTTATTAAACGTTAATATATTATCATTGCTATATGGTATGGATTGTGAAATAAAAGACACCTAGTCTATTTTTGTTGTGTCTCATTCAACTACAGTGATAATTCAAATAAAATGTTGTTTTTAAACTATTATCAGTTTAATATATGTGTTTAAAACTAGAGCTGTGTTTTGACTTGAGCCACATTTGATCACGAATGTAGTTATTTTATAAACAGCTACAATGGCTATGTCTCGAGCAAAGTATTACTCAGGTAGAAAAAATGTGGTTTGTTCCAAAACACAGGCCAATTAAAGTTTGTGCTTAGGAAAATATACTAGGAAAATAATTTATATATTTTCGTATATTTTGTATACAATTTTGACTCATAATACATGTTGTTATTTTAGTTTCAATAGATGTGGGTTTTAAAGATTTGCTCAGAGTCAATGAAGATCTTCATAAAAAGATTTTGTGTTATGAACCTATTTGGATTGAAGAGCTGAAAGACGATTTAAAACAGTACAATGTAAACATTAGTATGCAAAAACTCATGACGTTCTTGGATGATAAAGTAAAATATTTATTAAAATTTAAAATATTAGTTATTAGATTAATATACTTTTTTTTTTTAAATTTATTTATTATATTAGTCAATAAACTATTTATTTCATACATCAAAATTATTTTTATTCTTATAAGATATTAATGTTTTTAACTATCTATTAATAATTGATACAATTGTTGCTTGTAAGTTTTCCATGAACATTTTGATTTCATTAGTTTTCTCATGGATGTATAATATTAGAATAGTATTATACATGTACACAGTGATTTTTTAAATTTTTAAATACATTTGACCATATATATTTATGAATCCTTGAGATTTTTTGTACCATTTAAAGACGCTTCTGTGGCAATACAAACATTCGTTTTTTTAATAATTTCTTATGACACGAGAGGAAAATGCCCCCCCCCCCCCCCCATAATGAAGCCACTGAAATAATTTGATTTAAAAAAGGGGGATTCTTGTTTGAAAAACAGAAGTTTGTATTTACTAACCTTAAGTAGTACAAAAGATATCAGGAACCGAATTGGAAAATATTCTAAAAATTTAGTATTAAAGGGAAAATGGGGGTGAGCATGCTTAAAAAATCACCCTGTATAAGGTGATCCATTTCAGGGTCATCTGAAGTTCCTACATTGGTCAAAATTGTAAATTTTTGTTTTTGGTTGCTAATGTATAACAATTTTAAGATTTGTATATTTATCTTTCCAGTGTGTGTCATTTCGTTCAAAGTCAATAAATGATCAGAGGAAAAAATTAGCAGCAAAAAAATACACCAAAAGAAAGAAATTATTTTAAATTATTGAATTGTTACTTTTTTGACATATATTCTTGTTTGTATAATATTGGTGTTAAATAAATATTTGATGTATTTTAATACATTTTTCATTGATTAGTTATAAAAAATAATAATAAAAACCAATTACAGTCATAAATAATTATTTTTATTTCTATACAAACCATAATATTGTCATTCATTTTGTATAAGGAATTTGGATGTATTAATTTTACTGTTTCTTCTGATAATCAATTTAGGGATTGTGAAATGTTTGTTGAAAATACATATCTGTGCCAGGGTTGGCAGAATCTTAGATACAATCGACAATCTTGTATTTTTGTATCAACTGTATCCAGATACAAGTACTAAGAAGTACCTATCAAGAATTTTGTATTGCAATACATTTCCTAGTCATTGTATCCAGTATTTGATAAAACAATTTAATCGAAAGATACTAGATATATTAAAGCAATACTTTGAAATGTCTAGTTTTTTAACGTTTACAGCATTAAGCTAATATTAGGTACGTAATGGTTGTATGGTATTACCTACCATCCAATATAGGAGGTATTTATATATTTGTTCGTATTTGATAAAAATAAATATTTAATTAAGCATGCATATGAACAATATTATCCCATTTTAAAAAATCTTTATATTCGAAACTACACTTCTTTAGTAGCAGCTTTAAAATGTTTCCCTGTTATGGCTACCTACCGGCCGAAGGTCTAAAAACTTTTGATGGAAATATCTATTATGTACCAAATACCAATAGTACGATCTGTACGTATTTTTGTATTATTGAACAGAAAATAGCAAATAACTCTTTGGTTTGTATCGGGAAAAATGTGTAAAATCATCTCCAAAAATAAACCAAAAATATCACAATATCACCAAGGCAGTAGCTTGCCAGCCTGTCAGTATGATTAAGACATCATTTTTTGTTTTTAGTGTAGAAAAATAAAGTATTTAAGTTTTTTTTTTTTTTTTATTGAACAAACATAATATATTTACAATCTGTATTTACATGTGATACAATAAGTAAATGTGATGACAATTTGGTTTACAGGAGGGGGAAGTTACCCAGTGGCGGCACCCCGTGGGGGTATTTAAGTTAAAGCGCTTTTTGTGATACTTGGATACCGAGGTGGGTGGGCCTCGGTTTATGAAAAACCACCTAAATAAACTATTATTAATCAATGCCATAAGCGGACGTTGCATATATTATACGTTCTGAATAATCCATTTAACTCCGTTATGATTAATATCGGAGCGAATTGACATTTGACACATTTTCAAATTTATGAGTACGAGTATTATATGTATAAATCTAGTTTAGCACCTCCTCGAAATTTCGATTTTTATTTTTTGAAACCCGTGTAATTCAACGATTTTAGAACGATGGTGAAAAAATAAATTTGAGGAAATGATTAGTTTTGAAGTTATAGACTAGCGAAGTTCGAGATTTTCGGTGTTCTATTCATGCGTGCAACGCTATTTTTTAACGCTCTTATAACGAATATTATTTTTTTCGGAAACATAGTGCAGCTAACTGTGTAATCACTGCACATATACTACGACATAACTTACCCTGTAACCTACTTAAGGTGGTGTTGCACAGCAAGTCGGGGGATATTTTCGATTTGAGGAGCGGAGCTGTGTAAGCACTGTCCACATTATAAAAAAAACACCGAAAATCTAGCAAGTCTATAACTTCAAAACTAATCATTTCCTCAAATTTATTTTTGCACCATCGTTACAAACTAGATCTGTTTTGTATTGTCTAGTGAACATCGTAGAATTTTATTTAGATTTTAATTTTAAAGTAAGTTAGGTATGAGGAGTATTTTAAAACACTCATAACTTGCCGTAAAATTAAAATCTAAAAGAAAACATACTTACATACCTGAGTTATTTAGACTATTCAGAACGTACAATTTGCTATGCTATGCAGTGTTGTAAGACAGTGACGACACACAACTTGTACCGTCCTCTCAAATCTCAATCCGGCTTTGCGTGAGAAATCGGAACGGGTCTGTGCATGACTGCCATCATGACTAAACATATTTGTTTTACACTTTAGTCGTGGGCTTGTGAAAAATTGTGTGCCGAAAACGAATACCAACGAGCTGTTCAAGAGACCAACGAAGTACGAACCTCCACGATCCTGTCATAATAATAATATCACAGAATAGATGAAATATGATAATATTATCATCTCTCGTGGAATTGATTACTGATTTTCATGGTCTAAAAAACATTATCATCTTGACAGACGCGATAACAATAATTTTTGGCGGGATTTGATTCCGTGCGTTTTCGACATAGAACTTAGTGTTATCATTTTTACATGATATTTTGATAATTTGATATTATAATATTTCAGTCGAATCTTGAAACTTGAAAGTCTGTAGTCGCCAGTCGGTACCGTGGTGTAAAGGATTACGCGTGTTTACGCCACTATTTAGTCACTACTTAGGTCAGTAAGTCTGTAATTCGTAAGTTGTAATATTAATAGAAACACTGATATTTTGATCTAAATTATTTTCAATATACCTATTGTATTGCATATTTGCATAAAAGTATATTCATCGATGTGTTCAAGACGTGATGTACCTACTTTGTAAACGTTAAAATTTTTTAGAGTGCGTATAACTTGCTAAAACTACCAAATATTTACGAAATAACGTTTTAGTCATGAATATGAAGTAAATCCAACACGATAGGCACTCGGATACCCGTTATCCCATGGGGAAATTTCTCAATAGCTAGTTTTTCGTTTTCTACAGCAATAAATAATCAAGTACGTTTATATCAATCAATTCAAATGCAAATATATAAATAATATATTCTCACGAGGTTTAATCGATTATTTTAATAGTCTTTCCAGAAACAATAATGGAAAAAATGGAAGTGGATGTCGCGGTAGTCGACAAAAAGTTCCCATTTGATCTCTGGAGAAAATTTAAAAGCATGTTTACGTTTATAATGGACGAAGAAGCCGAGTCATTGGAAGAGCATGCTAAAATTATGCGTGAAGTTCTGAGTAAAATGGGAGAGCAAGAAGGAGTTTTTAGCCCATTTGTTAGCATCAAAAGCAATGCGTTCAGTGTCGATTACTATAAAGGTATATATTTAAAATACATTATTTATTTTTATAGTTGTATTTAATAAACTTAACTTTTTATGTCTTGATGATAAAGATTTGATTTAAAAGTTTGGATACATATTTTTTAAGATGTTTAAAATGTTTTTTTAGGATGTTTACTTAACTTAGTTTAAGGAGAGTAAATATAATTTTACGATATACCAATGTGTTTTAATTTAAATTAAATTCATACAATTTTTTTTTTTCAGAATTTACCATCTGGATCATTGGTCAACTTGTAAAAATTCTTAGTCAAAAAGGATTTTCTCCATTACATGGTAATTCAACTCATAGCCAAACATGTTTATTGGAAGTACTTTCTTGCCAAAATACGTATATTTACGATTGTGCCATTAATGATTATTCTAAATTTATAACAAGTAAAATAAATTATATAAAGTAATATTATTTCCTAAAACATCTACTATAACTATTGTATTATTTAATTTAGAAATGGCGGAAAATGTAGGTAAAGATTCGTGGCCAATTGTCATCACATGGTGTAATCCTGAAAAGAATTTTCGAACTCAATTGTCTGTAATTGATTTTACTCCTATCCACATTTCTATCAACGATCGTGATAGTTATGTTTATTTATTATCAAAAATGTTTCATTTATTTTCTAGTAGTGTATTTTCTATAAATTATATTAAAACAAATACTACTGTAAAATTCTGGCAATCTGTCACATTAGCTATACACAATTCACATTCAATAGAAGTTACACAAGCCGGACTCCATTTAATTTTGCATATGCTAGCGTCAACATCACATAAAAAATATTTTGAAGTAAGAATACAGAAATATTAGAATTATATTAATTATATTAATATTTATAATTATAATTTATGAATCGTGTCTTTACATATTATATTTTTTCAGATACTGGAAAATATTTATAAAATGCTATTTGATACTATTGAAAAAGTGTGTTTGAAATATAATTCTTCTGCAGAACAATCTAACGAGATTCAAAACATTTTGAGTAACATATTTAATATTATATGTAAAGCAGGATCAATTCATGTTGTATCTATAAATATGGCAATAATAGAATTAGTTTTAAAATTACTGGTTTCTGATAAAATTAAAGGTACCTATTTATATTTGTTTTCTAATTTAATATAAATATATTTTTTCATTTTTTAAAATTAAAAAAGTTAGTAGATATAATACCTAACTTGTAATACTAATCCTTTCTGTTCAACTTAATTATTTCTTATAGATGTGATTTTTATCAAACATTTATTCAACAATCATATTATATTCAGTAATTTAAATAAAAATGTTTGTAAGAAAGGCATTTTTGTACTTGCTTCATTGCAATTATTAGGTTCTTCATGTAAGTACAAAATTATAATTTATATTATTTTATTTTTAGTCACAAACAAACTGTCTGGAGCAATGTGTAACGTGATTAAAGGATTACTTGATGATGAAATTGTTAATCCTAATATAATAATTGAAAAATGTCCGATGCGTCAGTTAATTGATGTATCTTCACCAGTAAGTACTACACTGATTTCATATCTTATTTCATATTAACATTTTTTAAAAATTTTAAAAGTTTTATATTAATGATAAGCTCACATATTTGTTTATTAATCTAAATAATGCAAAAAAAAAAAACCATAAAACATTGCGTATGTATAATTTTATAAATTTGTTCTTTTCATAATTAATTAAAATCTATAAAAAAGTGATGTCCAACATTATTTGGGGAGACATATTAGGAAAATGTTGCGTTTGTGCAAGTCAACAATAATAGAATTATAATGTTTCATTACTAAATAGTACATTGTACTTTCTTGTTAGCTTGTACAGTTATTGTAACTTTTTATTGAATTTCCTACTGCTAGTCGTATACCCAAT